AACATGATTAATAATTATAATTCAATATTATCAATTGACAGACAATATTATTTTTCATAATACTGTGCTTTTTTACTTAGAAAACAATATGAAAACATGATTCATAGTGCGAAAGGAAGAATTATGATAAGAAAGAATATGCTAATATATTATATGTTTTGTTTATAAATGAAATAAGGCATGGGAAAAAAGTTCGTGGTATTTTTCCTATCGATATATCTTTGCAACTACTTGAGCAATTTCAATAAATAAATAGTCATTTTAAAGAACATTTCAAAGTACATTTATTGTGCAAAAAATAAAGGTTCTAGCTCAAGAAGTAAGAGCGTTAATAAAGGAAGTTTGTTACATGCGTTTTTTATTCTCAAAAAACAACAGGTGGGACAGATTAAACGGTGGCGTTTTGCATTTCAACGTTTTATCACTTAATACGTTGTTTAAAAAAAAACGAAATATACCACAAGATGCAGTATGAAAAGCTCTACAATCTACAAAGTAAAGCTGATTTTAATTGTGCACTTTTTGTTTTCAAAAAAAAACCAAAATTCTATGCGACTGATTTTCGACGCTGTGAAAAGATCATTTTTTTTTTCTACATGAATCATTCATTGCATCTTTTCATCACCTAATACATTTTATTAAAAAAACAAAATATATCACAAGATGCAGTGTGAAAAGCTCTAAAATTTACACAGAAGACTTTATTTGTTAAAATCTCTCAAGTAGGTTTTTTTCCCTTATATTAATATAGAGAAATAAATGTACGATAACGATAAGACATAATATCATTATATGCAATAGGACAATGGTTAGAGATTATATCAAATATAAATATATGTATAAAAGGACTACTATAGTGAAGAATTATAAGAATGAATCAGAAAAAGACGAGAATAAGAATAAATTATTATCCGATATTGAAGCTATGTCTTCTATTAATGAACCATTTGAGATATTTTTCTATAATTACAACTAACGAGATTAGACATCTAGGTTTACAAATGACATTGACTATCTACTTTATATCTAACTATTTGTTATGAAATACATTCCATATCAAGGATTCGAATAGTTACGTATTGCCGACAGATATTTGTAGAGCATTTTTAAACATTTTTTTCACTATTTAAAATAACTTTTATCTAATGAATACTTTTTATAGAGCAGACAAAAGAAAACCATGCCAACATTAATAAGTTTGCCCAGGAAATAAAAATAACTATGGCTTATGTTAAACAACTTAGCAGATAATTAGAAGTAAGAATATCACAAATAGTCTAGTGAATTGGTGAAGCAGGTACGCAGAAAATAGGATTATAGAGATTTTATTTTAATTAGATTCGATGCATTGAATCAATGTAATTGATATATTAAAGAATCATAGTTTATAATATTTCCTAGACTAGAAAAACATTTTTCTCGTATCTAGTTATTTGCCGATTATTAAGAAACTTTTGCTTGTGTACCTATTCAATTTATATCATACGTGTCAATTGAATCGTTTTTTTTCAGCATAATTTTGCTATTTTATTACTAATTGTTCGATGAGTTTTGACTATCTTGATCAAGACAATCAAATAGAAATTGTTAAAAAGTTATTCATTGAATAATCTCAATCGAACATAAGACATTCATGGGATAGAAACATACTTTCATTCTTTTTTTTTACAGATAACATGGACTAATGAAAGGAACAGGAAATATATATAATGTTTGCCATATTTAACATATTAACATTAAGGATGAAATAAAAATAGATGGTAATAACTCCAAATCTATGGAATTATTCGACGCAGTTTTACTATTATTACATCAACAGAAGAATGATGTAATATTGAAGAATTATAGCGTTGACAACATTAATTTTCGTTTAGTCTAAATAGATAATTGCAACTATAGACTTCGTACAATCAATCGTTTTCACATTAATTTATACAGCGCTGAATACTATTTTAATCTGTTATTAGTTATTGCAAGTCAATGTTTACATTTCCAAAGATCCCAGAATATTCAAACTGTGTATTACTGATATACGATTTTTCATTAATGGAACGATGTTTAATTGTAATTTGTATAGATTCAATCATCTTTTTTCTTTTTCTAATAGTTTTCTTCTCAATATTTTTTCATTTCACTGTATTTCATACATAGCATAAAAAAAAACTATAGCTCGCCTAAGTAAAACTTATTATGTTTAATTAGTTATTGAATCACTTGAAATACTTTAGAAAAATTCTTTTGGCATTTAAATTTTTTTTCTCTTCATCTGGAACTATTTGAAAAGAAGACAAAATTCTTTGGATGGAAATAAAATGTGACTTTCTTCCTCTCAATAGTTCAATACATTCTAATAATTTTGTTTTATAACATGACAAATGACCAGGGAATATATTTAACATAAGGTTAGATCTATCAATTTTTTTTTAAAAAACGATTAAGAAAAGAAGATCGTCACGAATCTATAAAGTTCTATTTTCAAATTTTACATTTTTTTTGCCTTGCATTCACACTTTCTCATTTGTTCTTCTGATAGATGAATGTCATATAGCTATCGAACTTTACACCATTCAAGGACCATCGAATAACAGTTCTGTGGAAACTTGAATTAATAGAATTTCAATTCCTGACCTATAGTAAAATATAATATCAAAGATTTAAACAGATTGAATCATGTATTTTTTTTTTTGACAATAGAAAGAAAAAGATGTACTAATTATTCACGATTTACGTATAGAGAGTAGAGAACAATACTGTTTTTTGTCTCAAGGAGAAAATATTATTGCGATAATTTTTCAGTCGTAAGTGTTATCAAGATCATAGAACATAACCTTTTTAGCTCCCCCCCCCCCCCTTTCCGATTCCGATGATTTTTTTGCCTATAGATACTGCATAATATTTTCATCAAGACCTTTAAAAGGTTTAGATTTTAACAAAATTATAGAATATTTTCCTAGATGCCGCAACCTTTAGGGAAGTTCGAATTTTGATCTGAAATTTATGTGTATCAAGAATTCAACTAGACTAGTTTCCATAAAAAATTCACAAATTTTGAATGAGATCTCGTCGAGATATGAAACTTTCAAGATATCGACCCTTTTTCACGAATAGAGACATCTGAAGGGTTCTTTTGTTAGCGAATTTTGTTGAATACTTGTAAATAATACTATTTAAAACACGGTGGACCCGTCTAAGTGATGTGAATCGTCGAACAGTTAGAAATTTTTCTTTTTTTTAACAAGTAGAAAAATCCAAAAACACCAATATGCAGTAAAAATTTGCTGACTTTTCCCCCCTAAGATATAGGAGTAAATGAAGTTGTCACCTTCAAAGTCTCTAATATTGAATTTTAACAACATGTTATGATGTTATTTCTTTATTTCTAAAGAGCTTTCTTTTTGAATAGTTCATCATGAGTGTAATGCAAGACTTTGATAGAAAATATTAATCAGAAAAAGACAAAAGTAATGAAAGTAACTTTTTTGCCGTATAAAATTTGTATCTTCGCCTTTCTTAGAAGATGGAGAGTGACGATGAAGGCGAAACATGTGTTCATATCTTCTCAGAAATGTCCGGGTATAATTCATGTGTGTTGTATCTTTCTCAAAGAAGTTGTCTTAGTATTACTAAAATGGATTATCAAAACTTTTTTTTTTCGAAAAAAAAGTTAATGCTAATGAAAATAGAAATGAAATTTCATATAACCTTATTTTCGATCAATAGTGGCTAGTATGAACCTCTATGCCATTAAAAGTATCAAAACTGTGTTTCTTAAATAAAGATCTATGATTTTTAAACAAGTCGAGAGAATAGATCCGAACCAACAAAATTAGATTGGTTAGCAAGTGATTAAGCAGAGGAGTTTTTGATGGAAATTTTCGGAAACAATATTCTGAAGCTATTTCAACTTCCATGAAGACTTTTAATAGAACTAGTCAATAAGAAAAATTCTTCTCTTTCGATCTAGACAAGATTAATATTCATATCTAGTTCCATTTAAGAGTTATAAGGCATTTGTTGAGATCTTCTGTTTCAGCCATTTAATTTGTAATAACGTAGGAAAGCAAGTCAACAATGATAATTTTTCATGTTGAGTCAAATGGTGATGTTTGTTGTTTAGGTTCCAACGGATCTGACATTGACATTTCAATATTTTCGAAACGTCGACTCCTTCAATATGACTATTTGAATCACCATAATGAATCATCTGTGCCGAACTACTGTCCACATTATCACAGATCTATTGGCTGAAATCGGAGGTTTTAGTAAAATTCTTATAACTTTCGTATGAAATCAGCTAAGAATGTCAGCCTTTCCTTGATTGAAAGAGGAAAATTTATTTCTATCGAATAGTTCTATTAAAAATCTAAATCAATGTCGACAGTTTTCATCAAGAACTTAATTGTTTGGTCACTTGCTCACCAATCAAATATCGATATTCTAAATCTTCTCTTTTGAATGATGAAAACCGCATATCTCTATGATATTTGTATCAAATGTTATTCAAAACAGAAAAAATGAACAATGAAACACATTATATTTTGAAATGTATCGTAATGTAAAGATAATCTCGATTAACTTGAAACATTCCTGTATAATCTATTTTTCCATTTATTTACTTGTTCTGTTGTTCATCTCCTTTTGACTTTCTTGATGTGATTACATTCATGAAAACTATCATTTTTGTTAAGCACACACTCGCCCCTCCCCCTCTGTTACAAGATCAGACTATCCGAAACTCAAAATCTTTCTGTATTCTTATGATTGAATTTTTATATCTAAAGAAATTTTGTTATTTAATATGATTGAATAGTTTTACAATATCGCTATCAAGAGCATGATAGTGAATAATTCGATTGTGGCGCTTCTAAACTATTCACTTCTTTTTCTTTTCTATAGTATCTTACACAAAATAATACATGTGGTTAGTTAGTTTGCTTGTTTAGAGTTTAAATGTATGAGTCAACAGTTTATTTTAATTATCTTTTAGAATCATAGATAAAATGGATATTCCAACTGTAAATCATCATGTTGGTTCAACTGAACGAGTATTTATTGCACATGTTAATGATTTAAATGGTTTGTTTAATTATCTACAAAAATAAATTCTCTCAATAAAATCTTGTTTTATTTTATATAGATTTTTATTTACATTCAGATTTCTTTCGTGATCCACTTCTTAAACTTGGTCAAGAACTTTATACTGAATATTCTGAATCATTAACGTATACAAAAAACCAAAAAAAAAATCTTGATTAGTTTATTTTTTTATTTTGTATTTAATAGAAAAAATACTTTAGAAATAAATGAAACACTTAATATAGGTGATTATTGTGCATGTCCATCTGAAAGTGAAGATTGGTATCGTGGTTTAATACGTCAAATAGATTCAAATGATAATGCTAGTGTATTTAAAATTGATTATGGTGATGTACAATATATACCAATTAAATTTCTACGACCATTACATGTAAAAAAAAAAAGAAAAACGGAAACAGTTATTTTTTTTTTTTTTGTTTTTTGTTAATTAGAAACGTTTTATTCAATTACATCGTTTAGCATTTCATTGTTCATTAGTAAATTTAATAAAACCATTAGATGGTTGGTCAATAAAAATAATTGATGAATTTCGTTCACGATTAACAACAACATTTCTTTATGCAAAATTTATTAATTATAATGAAATAATAGATATATCAGAAGTTGAAATAACAGAAAAATCATCAAAAATATCATTAAATAAAGATTTTCGTAAGTAAAAAAAAAACAAAAAATTTATTTTCTTATTTTGATAATTCTTTTCCTTTTCAATTAGAACAATATCAAATACAACGATTAGTAATACCTATGAATGATAAATTTTTATATAAATGTAAGAAAAAAAAAACAAAAAAATATGTCTATTATTAGAATTTTTTTTTTTTTTTGTATAGATATTCCATTAGAAAGATTAGATTATATTCAATCGAATCAAATTCGTATGCTTTATTATATATGTCCAAGTCGTTTTTATGTTTATCTTCGAGAAAATATTAATTCTTATATGAGTGTAAAAATTCTCTTTTCTTTTTATTTTTTGAAAATAAAATTTTCTTTGATTAGTTTCAAAATGATTTACAAAAAGCTATACAAAATCTTCGATCAATATCAATACCAGTTAAATATCAACCAGTTGCTGCACAAGATAATCATGCTATATGGCATCGTGCTGTTATATTTGGTTTGATAAGAAAAGAAAAAAAAATTCTTTTTTGTTTTAAATCTTTCTTATTTTTAAAGATTTTGATTCGGATTTAACAAAAATTTATGTCTATTTTATTGATATTGGTCAAAGAGAATATATTTCAATAAATAATATTCGTCCATTACCAGAAGAATTTCATTGTAAACCAGCATTAGCTATTCCATGTTGTTTATATAATATATATCCATTAAATGGTAATGATCAATCAATATGGGAATCAAATGATCCAGTACATGATGAATTTAATAGACTTATGGTTAATAATGTTAGTTGTAAAGTACATTCAAAACAAGATCAAATTATTTATGATGTTGAAATTGATATTCCAAGTAAGTTATTATTTATTTGATCAATATGAAGTTTAAAAAAGGAATGAATATAAAGTTATTTTCTATATACTTCATTTCAATGATTCGATTGAATTAATATAAAAATTTCAGTCAAGAGATTTTGATTTTAACTTTAGCCAGAAATTGTTGGGTACTGGACAATTCTCCAGCGGAACTATTTTGAGATATGGGCAGCTCTAGGCAGGTGTTATCGTCTCAAAGAAATCAATAACTTTTAGAGCTATGGGCAATTGCCCAATCCCTGGATACGCCACTGTTTCCGAACCATTCCTTATGTGAAAGTCAATTTAGATCCATCTTTAAACACTCGGGCTTTTATATTCTGTTTAAACACTCTTTAAAAAGAGTCGGTTTGTTTTTATTGGTTTGATGAAGCATATGAAGCTTCAGCACCTTTTTTTTTAGACCTTTATTACTATTATATTTTACACAACGCAGTGTAGTCTAATATGTTTTTTGTGTACTCAAAAAGTGAGTACACTATAGAATCGGTCAGTGTGTCCGGCCGATCGTTTACACGAAAACTCTTCAGAGGGTAGTCCAATGATGATGAAATTTTGCACGCAGAATCGTCTCATCAATATCTCGGTCGAGTTCGAAGATGAAAATGATTCGTCAAGAAATTGCTGAGTTATCGCAAAAATGTCATTATTTTCTATGCGAACATTGACCTATCCCGTTTTTCGTAAAACAAACTTTTTCTCTCATAATCAAACAAAACCTCAGCTATAATATATCATTCGCTAGAGAATTTTACGGGCTACAAAATGATATATAAAACATTAAGAAACAAGAAGGCTAAGTCACTTATTGCAAAGATACTTACCGGAAATTGCTTCTGTGTTTTTACTTTTTGAAGTACACATAACACTCGGATTTAAATCCTAGGTTTTCACATTTTTTTAAGCAAAAGTCAATTAAGTCTATAGAATAAGAAGTCACAGAGAATTTCAGATTATCAAACGAGCTATTTTTGTCACTTCTCTGTTCAATACCGATTGAAATAATCTACATATTACATTGCATAATGAATCTTTATTGAAAAAGCTTTTCGGATATTGAAAAGCAACGACATATAATTAATTGATATGAGTTTTAAGTCGTATATATATATTTTTCTCATAATTAGTAACCTTTCAAGCAACAATAATAAGTCTAATTCTACTCATTTTAAGAAAATCATAATATTAAATTTTTCGATTTTAACATATATGAAATTTCTTTTTTTTTTTTATTCTATTTTAATTAACTTATTGAAGTTTAAAAGTAAAACTAACAGATTTTTCATTGATAATATCATCTCTTGATGTGTAGCGCTATCTGTTGTTTAGCTTGGAAATTTTGCATTGGTTGGTTTATATATAACCCAATATGTGTCTATTTGAAGTGCTGGGTAAAAATTTTTTCAATAATATAAAATAAATTTGTTTGCTTCTCCTTTTTTTCTTTTATTTTTTATTAAATTCTTTATATTAAATCATTCATATTAATGAAAATAATATTATTTTCATCGTTAATGTTATTTTTAAATAGAATATAATTGTTAAATGAAATAAGAATAGAAAGAAAAATTATTTTTGTGTTTCTTTTTTTTTTTTCTATTATAGAAATAGGAGATCTCGGTACATTTCTTGTTGATAATAAATTAGTTTCTCGTACAACAATGAATAATCATCCACGTCCGAGCTTTAATTCAAATCAACCATTACATCAATCATATGTACGAACACAACTTATGGCATCAGGAATGACTCCTATAAGACAACAACAAAGATCTACACAACAAAATGAATTTTATAATAATCCAAATAATATGTCACAACAATCACAGATTCGTATGTTAAATACTGGATTACAAAATACTAATATTCAACAACCTCCTAGTACATCGTAAGTTGAAATTGAGTTTTTTTGAAATATTAGATATTAATCAATAAGACAACATTTTATAATGTTTTGAGGAAAAAAAAAACTGAATATGATTATTAATTATTTTCATCAAGCTCTTTGATTATTAATATTAATTAAATGAGCAAACTAATAAAAAGATTGGGGGGGATTTGTTATCACCTAGAACTGATGAGAGAAATTTCAACTTAAAATCTTGCATAACAACAGATTTATTGAAAACAACTGATTATGAAAATTTCAAATCTTCTAATTTACTTCTATCCTGAAATAAGAACATCAAATCTATCGATGTTAGAGCTCTTCGAGTCCAACATTTTGAATCTAGATCTAAGCGAATCATATTTTAATACTTTTAATGAAATTTTTTAATCATCCGCAATATATAAGATTGTTTTACTCGATTTATTTGTATTTAGTATTTAGCATATTTATCAAAACGATTAGAATCCATCGAATAGAAAATTTTTGAGATTCGGTCAAATTCTCGGCAACCTCTCCAACGTGCTCTTATCAGTAATGTAGACGACACACTTTCATGTTAGTCACTTCTTATGATAAGAATCACGAAACTATCTAAAAATTTTTCTTTTTTTCAGTTCTATTTCTGTACAAAGTTTCAAGTTGAAAATTTTTTTCTGATGTAAATCGTAGTATTGAGTAAAAAAAAGTGTTTGTATAAATATGATATCCTTACAATAACAACCTAAAGATCTCAGTTCTTTTCTCCGGAGGGGCGATTTGAAATTTCGGGGGGGGAGCGAAAAATTTTTTTCGGGAGGGCAAGCCATATAAGTTCGTCGCGCGATGATCGCGAGTCTCGGGGGGAAGGGTGACAGCGCCCCCCTCTAGATAAAACACTGTTTCAATATATTGATAATTCACATAGTCTCAAAATCTATTGAAAGAGAACTTTCTTCATGAAATCAATTTGAATCAACTTAAATAACTTTAATTTCATATTAATATTATTTCAGAACACCTAACAATTCATTATGGCCTATTTCCACTTTACCACCTCGTACGTTTGATTATTTAATTTGATTTATTATATTCTTAGATAAATTTTAGACGATGGAATTTATCTAATAACACAAGTTCATAGTGCTGCTGAATTTTATGGTGTTTTTCAATTACGTGAACATGATCTAGAAAATCTATCAAAACATTTAGAAGATTTTTATAATAATAATTCTGTTAATGATCAATCATTGAGTGTAAATGTTCTTGTTAAAGGTGTTCCATGTGTTGTACAACATGGTGATAGATATCATCGTGTTACAATAAAGTAAAATTTCAAAAAGGACAAAAAAATATTTCATAAAACCTTCGTTGTTTTTTTTTTTCTTATGTAATTAGACATCGTGAAAGTGAAACACGAGTATCAGTTAAACTTATTGATCGTGGTGATGAAATTCTTGTTGATACATCAGAATTATTACAAATTGATAAAAGTTCTGTTTCAATACCAAACTTTGCTCAACCATTTCGTTTACGTGGTTATGATGAATCGGTAAATAGAAATAAAAAAACAAAAAAACAATTTATTTTCAAATTTCATATTTTTCTTTTTTTTTTTTATGTTTTATTTAAAGCAAAATTCAGCAAATTTAACTCGTACTTTAAAAAATTTAATATTAAATAAACATGTTCATATTACATCAATAGGTTCAATAATTAATGAATGTTATCCTGTTGAAGTTATTTTATCTGATAATCAATCTGTTAATAAAATACTTTTTTCTTCGGATAAAAATATATTAGTAAGTAATTTTATTTTCAATTATAGTAAAAACTTTACTCTTTCTAATAAAAAAAAAATAAAACCTATCAAATTTCTAAATAATAATTGATATAGAATTTTTTTTTGTTTGTTGTATTATTCATTATATTTAAAATCTAATTTAGAGTCCAACATCAATTTCAAATAATCGTCCTAATTTTAATCAAACACATACGAATTATATTGCGTAAAAAAAAAAAAAAAAAACAAAAGTTTTTTCTATTATCAATAGATTAATATATTTAGATCACAAATATATAATAATTCAAATAAACATCATCATGATCAAGATTTAACTGGACGTTTTCAAATGACTCATAGAACAAATGATATTTTACCAACATCTACAAATATTCCACGTACACAACCTGGTCGATTTGGAACAGGAAATTTAACAACATCAGTTATATCTTCATCTAATGAACAAATACCACGTTTTACAAATATAAATAATCGTAATAATCAACAATATTCACAAACAATAGATTCAATACCATCAAATTCTCTATGGAATAAAGAACAAAATATGAAACCAAATTTTAATATTACAAATCAACAAACATTTACACGACAATTATCAAATTCATCTAATAATCAACGAACTGATGATGATAAAATATCTATGGCAAATAATCAAAATCGTTTATCATCAATACCTTATGTTAATCAACAAACATCATTTGAACAAAAACGTTCAATTGATGGTGGTAAATATAAAGTTCAAAATTTGATAGAAAAAAAAAAAAAAATTTTTTTGTTTTTGAAATTTATAGCTAGTGGATTTTCTCATGAAGATCGTAATGAAAAATTAATGAGAGGAAATCATTTTCAAAAATATGATGATAGAACAAATGAAAATAGTTTTCGACGAGGTGGTTTTAATCGTGGTAATGAATCTTCTGATCGAGGAGGTAATTAATTAAAATAATTTAGAAACATATGATTGGTTTTTTTTATTTGATGAAGTCCTTTTGTCTTTTAGAAGCAAGTTTTTATTTCAGATGAAATTTTGTTAATTGTCTAATGAGAAAGTATTTATAGGTGTCAGTTTAGTTTTTTTCAGTTGGAACTAATGAGAAAACTTCTTTAGCGGATTACATTAGGTTCGAATAAAAACTCTAAAATGATTTGAAGTTCTATTGAAATTTGACTAAACTATCGAGTGTTTCATAAGGTTTTTTTTTGTGAACCCGAAGTTTTCCAATTTCAATCCGAAAATTTGTACATATAGAGAACATACATACTTCAGGTATTATCTATGCTAAAGGACCGATATCTTGGAGAGACTTAGTATCGAAAATTCTGAAGTTTACCATGTAAACTAGTCTAGTTGAAGTATTTATGTGGGTAAAATGTCCAAATTTTGGTATTAATGAGTATGTGTAGGTCCTATAGTGAAAATTTCCTTAAAAAACACATTCGATCTTCTAAAAAAAATATGCCATAAGGGTGAATTCATTTTATGATAGACCTAGTTTACTAAGGTTTATATATACATGCATATTCTTGGTTACGGTCATTTTCAATTAATTAATAAAAATAAAAACAGAAGTAAGCTACGAGAAAATAGTTTAAACTTAGTTTTGATAAAATTACATAGAGTAGAATCAATTATTTAACAACCTTAAGATCTTCAGACTTTCTTAATAAATTCAATAATTTTCGAATTTCAATCTTGGAATGTTTCCATAGTTGTCTGTATATATCTTAAGAAAACGAAATAACTCTAGAAGATAAACTTGTAGGCATAGTATGATTTAATTAATGTTTTCTTTTTTTATTTGATTTGAAAAGGTCAGGGTGGTTTTAATGATCGTCATATGAATCGAAGTAATGATGGCACTAATAATGATTATAATGCATCTTCTTCAGGTGCGTTCTCTAGTAAGTAATTTCTTCAAAATTATTTTATTTATTTTCAATTTAATAATTTATAGAACGTGGTGGAGGTTTTCATGATCGAGGTAGTAACTGTTTATTTTGTTTTTTTGCATTATTTAATAATAATTCTTTTTGTTTTTGAAATAAAAGGTCGTGGTGGAAATTTTCATGATCGAAATAATTTTAATCGAAATCAAAATGATGATCATTATGAAAATAATATGCAACGATCACAAAATTTCAATAATAATACTCGTGGTAGTTTTCAAAATCGTCGTGATCAAACAGATAATCGAGATCATGGAGAGTTTGGACGACGAGGTCAACGTGGTGGTCAACGCGGAGGTAAAATTTATAAATATTTAACATCATCTAACATTTTTTTTTTTGAGCTTTTTGGCTCTAACTGTCAAGTTCTTTCAACTAATATTCATTTCAGAGTTAAATAGTCGTGAGCATTTTTTGAATAACTTTTAATAAGAACCAGATAGAGATCTCCGATTTTCACCGTTGGAAAGAGCAGATGAAGACGCATCGAATTATATATCGAAAGATTTTTCTAACTACTTTCCTAACGGTTTAGTCAAACGTTTTCAAAGAATTGCTTTTTTCTCCTACTTTAAAAAAGTGGCTTTTCTATCAAAATACAGCAAAAATTTACATTTTTCGATTATTTTGTTAAAAAAAATGAGGTGGCAAATTGTGTTCCTATGGTTTGGATATCATAGTGGTAGTATTTAGGAACAGCGTCGTGATATATTTTTGTAGCCCTTCCTTTGGCGATTCTAGCGCACTCCTGAAAATCAATAAATGACTATTGTGACCCTGAGAAGCATGCTGTTTCTCTTGAAGTTTTATGTAAAACCTATACGAAAGCAGCTAGAAAAATCTTTCTATATATAATTCGATGCATCTTCATCTGCTCTATCCAACGGTGAAAACCACAGATCTCTATCTCGTTCATATCAAAAGTTATTCAAAAAATGTCTACAACCATTTAACTCTGAAATGGTCATTAGTATTAGTCCTAAATAAAACGGCGCTTAGGCCATATTTTATTAATATCCCGACCATGACAGACTTATCCGTGAGATCAAAATTTACTGTAAGATTAGAATAATAGTACTTTTGTTTCACACTCATTACAATATATATCGTATTAGAAATTCATGATTATACTAATAATTTTTATTTTCTTTTTATTCAAGGTGGTTTTAATAATAATCGTGGTGGTAGTGATCGTAATAATTTTCGAGATCGTGATAGTACTGGATTACAATTAAGTTTGAATAATAATAATACAACAAAAACATTTAATAATTTCTCAACTATACGAACAACAAATATTAATTTTGAAGCTGGTGATCATTTTATTGAAAATGAAATACCAAAAGATATATTTAAATATGTGATTAGTCATATTGAAACAGTAAATGATTTTTTTATACAAATATTATCTAAAGGTGATGAACTATCAATATTAAGTGAAACTTTACAAAATGAATATTCACAAGCACCAGAAATAAATTTAAGTTCATTAAAAATTGGTCAAGCATGTTTAGCTAAAAGTGTTGATAATTGTTGGTATAGAGGTAAAAATAATTTATATATTTTTTTAAATATGAAGTGATGATTGATCAGATTGCTACTGAAATTTTTCGTAAACATAAAATTTGTGTATCTTTGAAGACGTTTTTGAATTCGAATGAATCAACAAACGTAGAGAAAAGTAAAGTAGTTATACTTTATTTTATAGATGCATCAGGAAGAAGAGTTAATATCCCTAGGATTGTTCAATTTTTTGCCGATAGTTAGTGAACTTTTTTCTTAAGATTTTATTTTATTTTTTTAGCTGTTGTCGTTTTAACTGATATTAATAAAATAAAAGTTCGTTTTATTGATTTTGGTGATACAACTGAAGTTAATTCAAAAACAATACGACAATTAGAAAAAAAACATTGTTTAGCATCTCCTTATGCTTATCAATGTAAATTTGAAAATATTCAAAGTAATAATAAATAAACAAAGATTTTTCTTTTTTTTTATTTTTAAATAAATTTTTATTTTTATAGTTCTTAATAATGTAAATATAGAAATAATAATAAATCAATGTGCTGGTAAAGAATTTCAAGGAAAAATAAAATTAAAAACTTCAGATAATAAATTTATTCTTGAATCTGATGATTTTCTTCAAATTTTACTTCAAACAAATGCAATTAAGTAAAGCAAAAACAAAATACATACACAAAAAATTTATTCTAATAAAATTTTTTTTTTTTTTTAGATTAAAATCTGAAAATACATTAAAACGTCTTCATTGTCTTATTGTTCATATTGAATCTAATCAACATGAATTTTTTATTCAAGATGATAAAGAAACAGTAGATAAAATAGCTGATCTTATTAATAATGAAATATCAAATACTCCAACGTTAACAATTGATGAAGTTAACCAATTATTACCAAATACAATAGTTATTGCTACATTTGAAAATGAACCATATCGTGCTATTATACAATCAAATGAATCTAATAATGATAATATTAATGTTTGTTATATTGATTATGGTAATACAAATATATGTTCAAAAACATCATTAAAATCTTGTAGTGAACAATTAAGTTCATATCCATATCAAAGTAAACGATGTCAATTATATGGTATTAAATCAAATGAAATAGATAATGCATTTCAATATATTGAAGATAAATCAGATTCAGAAAATATTGAAATTTCAATAATTAATGAAAAAAATTCTTTATTTAATGTTATTCTTTATATTGATAATGAATGTATTAATGAAAAATTTGGATATGATATAAATTCAATTGAAAATATTATTGAAACTCATGATCAATCAAGTATAGCAACAACAACAACAACAATAGAATCTAAAGAACAAGAACAACAAATATTAGTAGATGATAAACAAACTAATGATGATATTTTATCACAAAATGAAACTTCAATAGTTTCACAACCTGAGAACAATGAACCAATGATAGAAGGTATGTAGAAAATTAAATTATTTTGAATATAATCATACAAATATCATTCAATTTCATCAACAAATTGTTTTTTCTGTTGAGACCATATTTTAACCCTTAAGAGTCGAATATCCCTTCCAAGGGACATTTAAATAATTGTAATCAAAGTCTTATAAAAAATTTTGTAGACAAAAACCAATATTTTTCTGGATTGATATGACTTTCGAACCCATACCTAGACCAAAATGTAGTATTCAGGTGGCTATCAGGCGTAGCAAAACATCTTTTAGGACTGATGACTTTTTTTCAATAACACCTTTCGTCCCTAAAGTTGTATCTATTTGGAAATACGACATACAGTGTAGTTTATTTTATGTTACACTCTTAAGCCTATCATCAAGCTATTCAATGTCAGCATTCTAGAATCTTTTAACCGATCTACTGATAGATTGTGCTGTGATCAATAAAAAAATTCCTTCCGTGAGACATCCAACCTCATAGAAGAATCAAAACAATGTATTTCTAACATGAAACTTGGCTCACACATAGCCCTAGTAGTGTTTAGAAAGTTTCAAAATTTTCAGGAACAACTGTTGTTTCTTTCGCGAGATACAGAATATTGAAGTTTTTAGCAAAATTTAGCTGATTTTTGGATTTTGAATATCTCAGCAAGAAAGCATCTGTTCTAAGTGAAAATTTCGGAACATATTAAGTATTATCAAAACTATCTAAAGGCAAAGTTTCAGATCGAAATTCCTATTTTTTCGAATTTTTACAGGGATGAATATTCCTGCCAAAGGAGGTTGCGTAGGTTTAGAATAAGAAGAAGGTAATTATTTTTAACTATAGTACAAGTATACTGAGGGTCCATAATCTCTGTTTTTTCTAATTAGATTCTCATTTTTATAAGCGGAAGTTACTTCGGCTCTTAAAGGTTAATGATTAATCGTTGGATCGACAAGGATTCTTTAGTAGTCTCAATAGAAGTACCTGAAGATGAGAAATACGGTTAAAACAAGTCGTTTTTTCGAAACAAAAAATTATTTTCCTACTAGTGTGTATCTCTTTTGGAAAGTTCTTGCCTACGGATATAGATGTTACTGTGTGATTAAATAGGAAACTCACATTCCTTCCTGTCTACTAGTATTATAGGAAAATGGAAGAGTATTAACAATTAGTAATATTTACAGGTGAAATTTTAATGAGCAAGTAGTGATTTTTGATGTTCTCTATTATTAACGCCTTAACTTGTTGATTATATTCAAAAATTAAAGAAAAAGTTATCGATGAAATGAGATTAAATTCCTTTGAAAGAATCTCGAAGGCTAAATCACAAAGAGATACAAAGCTCGAAATGATTTCAAATAAAAACTAATATCTGTATATAGTTTTTATTCGAACAGAGCTTTAGTATACATTCAAACAAAATTCTTAATACAAGAATCAAATATAAAAAAATTTGATTTAACTCTCAGAATAAAAGAACAAGTTCTTAATTATATATTAAATCTTAATCGAAGAATTTCAATTTTTCTAATTGAAAAACCATATTTCAATAATTTAGAAATAAATTCAAAGGATCTTCATGATCCGCACTATCGCTAGTACAGTACATATCATATCGATAGTTTTTAACCGATTAAAATTCAATTTCGGTTTTCCTACAGAAAAAAAACCTCAATTAGAAATTCTTAGATTCAATAGGCTCTAATATCTATTGCTTCTAAACATAGTTTTTCGTCCTTTCAAAAGAATAAATCTAAATAAAATATGAATTTTAAACTCAAGATATATAAATCATTTAACTGAACTTTTTTTTTTTTTAGAAACTTTATCAGAATATTGTCAAGGTTTATTAACATATGTCGAACCAAATAAACCATATGTATATATACAATTATTACCTGAATCTGAATTAATTATTGAAAAAATTGATCAATTAATTGATAAAATAATAAATGAAAATAAACGTAATTCATCCTATGAAATAGGTGATCATGTTATAGCACAATTTACACAAGATGATCATTATTATCGTGCTAGAATTGAATCATATTCTACATCAACAAATTTTTATACAGTTTATTTTATTGATTATGGTAATCTTGATGATAATATAAAATTAAATCATTTATATTCATATTCTAATGAATTAGAAAATATTGAACCACAAACACATGGTTATTTATTAAATAATATTGATGTTAATTTATGGACAAAAAAATTATATTCAATAATAGAAAATAAATTAAATGATATTATTGAATTTTCTATTATAGATAATAATAATTCTATTATTGATATTAAACTTGATAATAATAATTTTGAAGAAGAAGAAAAAAAAATTTTATCAGCTAATATATCAGCTATTGATGAAAATTTTTTTTATATACATATATTACCTGATGATAATTTACATGTATGTGAAATAGAAGAATATTTACAAATATGTGATAAACAAAATAAAGATAATTGGTTAATAAATGATTTATGTATTGTTTTAAATCATGATAATAAATATTATCGTGGTCAAATTCTTAATATTATTGATAATAAATATAATATTCGTTGTATTGATTATGGAAATATTTTAACAAATATAACACATAATCATTTATTTATATTATTAGATGATGAAATTTTAAAACAATTACCATTAGCACATAAATGTCAATTATATGGTATTGATGATATTTATCAAAAAAAAGCTATTGATGATATTATACAATATATACCAATAACAGAATCTATTACAATTCATATTGAAAATCATGATGAAAATAATCAATGTTTATTTGTTACACTTATAAGAGAAAATAATGATAATATTAATGCTCAATATTTATTAAATGATAAGATTGAAGATGAAAATAAGGTAGAATTAATTAGAAATTAAACAAAAAAAAACGATCCTCAATTTATTAAGATTTCATTCAGATGTTATTGAGCTGTTGTTTATGTTTTTTTTACTTAAGATGTACAATGACCTTAAAGAATGGGGTAGTCTTAAAAAAAAAGAACATTTTTTTTTTCGAAGATTAACTTGAAAATAAAAAAATTAGAGTCTGTTAAGCTGTAGAATGTAATTTTTCTTTTCAATTTAAGACCTTATCAATCTTTGTAAAGTCCATTTCATAATTTTTGAACTTCAAAAACTCAATGGTTTTTTTACGTTACAAAGAATATAGGAAAAACATTTGAAGGACGTTCGAAGATATATGACTTTGGTCTTGGAATACATGTTAATCATAATATTTTTTTTTTTATTAAAAGATTTCCAGAGAATTTTTTGTTAAGTTTTTTGTAAAATCCTCAAAAACAAGGATAAAACACAATCTTTTCCACTGTTTGACTATGCAATGTTCTTTTTTATGATTGAGAGTACTAGAATTGTAAAAAGAAGTTCTTTTTTATAGTCAAGTATTCTAAAAAGGATGTTGAACATGACTAAATCTTTTCTTTTAATTAAATATTAATATATACAAATACTTCTATAAATAAATTTCTATTTTTACAAAGATTTTTGTTGAAATATTCAACACGATACTTGTTTTATCTAAATAAAAAAAATGATCTTTGACACGTACTCCATTTTGACATGTTCTTGCAAATAAAAAAAAAAAAAAAAAAAAGTATCTTCCTTCAATATCATGGCAAATTTCAGACAATTTTAATGTATTTTGCGCCATATTGAAAATCGCAGAGAACATGTCGATATTGAATCCGCCAGGCACTAGTCGTCAGAGAAATGTGTATAGAATCTGCTAGTCATTGAATACAATAAAACCGGAAAATGTACTCGCATCCTTGGGGCGTCTATCTGATTCCGATTAGGAAATTTGATTGAGGATATTGAAGTACGTTTCGGAAAAGTTTGTCCTCAATGAACTCTAATTGAAACTAAAAATAATTTTGATAAAAAAGAGAGTTTTTTTTCTTTTTTGTTTAATTATAATAATCTATAAATCGTTCTCTTTGTAATATACATGCAAGTTTTTGCCCTGTAATTAAAACGAATGGTTTTTTTTTTGTTTTAAATAATGTTGAACACTACTGAATATTTATTTTGATTTTTTTTTGTTTTGTATTTAGCAGGAGTCAGATACGAACGAAAAAAATGAAATAATATTATCGAATTCATCTGATATAGTTAATATTGATGAACAAAAAACATCACAAATTGAAAATAATAATAATAATGATCAATCTGATGATATAACAAATGTAACTGAAAATAGTTCATCATTATCAATGTCAAATAATAATCAAACAATTGATTTTGGTGAAAATGATTCATTAACAACAATAAAAGATGAAACAAATGATTCAATATCATCAAATTAATCTGTGATATATATATTTATAGTGTTTTTTTTGCTATAACAATGACTTTATAATGTTCGTTTGTGTCTTTTGTTTTGCATGAGTTGAACGAAAAAAGAAGACAACTGTAATTGTTCAAATTTATCATTTATCGAAACTTATTCAACAGTCCAGAAGACATTTTTCTTTTTTTCATAAATGTTATCGTTTTTTTTTCTCTCATTTTTTTTTTCTTCTATCGAAAAAAAAGACAACCTAGCAGTTTTCAACTGTCTATAGATGCGTGTATGGGTTGTTAATGTTTCATTATTTGAAAAATAAATTTATATTAAAGAAAAAAAAAAACTAAATTTATTTTGACTCAAAATATAAGATGAAAGCTTTGAAAATATCATTTGGAAAATATGAATGAGTTCATAGGTATTTTATTGAATTTTTATATGGAATATGTAACATATGATTATACTGGGTTTTAATGAATAAGATGACATGATGTTCGGAATTTTTTTCTTATTATCATGATCTAAAAAGCTATATTTAGGATTTTTCTATTCAATGTTTTGTAACCTGGATTATTTTATTAATTCATTGTCTTTTTTTTCTTCTTCTTAATTGAATGTGACACGTTGACTGTAGACTATTTGAAAACACTAGTCATAAAATCCATGTCATGTTCTATAAATAGTTTTCTAGGTATAAAAACGTAAATATATATATATATATATAAACAAATCGTATGTCAGTTATTTATTCATGAAGAAGACCTAACATGCTCATAGAATATTTTTAATTAAATGTGACAGCAGAAATTTTTTCTTATTATATGGAACAATGTTTTGCTATCAAATTTCATTTCCGTTTTTTTTTTCTTACATGATTGTAGTTATGATATAAATAGCAAATAACACGTAATCATTCCAAATATACATATATGTACTATATGTATAATGTTCTTATGCGATAAATCGAGCTTATTTACTTCTAACCTTTCAGTATCATTTGACCGAGAGCATTGAAACTCGAGAACATATAATAGAAGGAATCGAAGTGCAAATTATGCTTCAAGTAAAAGAAAAAAGACAAAATTCCAAATATGATGGGCACATCATTCATAATTAATCATTTACTTATCGATGACTATTATTAATGATTCATTTTGATTACAGAAAAAAAAAACACATCAAACTAAAGCAATATGTCTTTCTTTGAATCTATTCATCTAGTTTATGTTATGAAAATAAAGTTTTAATTCAAAAAAAAAAAAATATTTTATTTATTTTATTAAATCGAACCGAATAAATTCAATCATTTATTTTCTTAAAATTAAAGAAAAGGAAGTAAAAAAAAAACCTTCAATATAGTTTGATCTAGAATACTAATAAAGCAAAAAAAATATAGCTTGTTTATGCATGAAGAACGATTGGAAAGTATGTTTTTTCAATGCAAAAAATAATTTTATGCTTTATGCATCGTATTAGTAAGCTTATCCTAACGTAAATTATAGCAAATAAGATTCTTTAATAGATTAAACTGTAACTACCATAATTAACTACATATGAGAATACGTAATTATATTAACAATAATCGACCATCAATAGGTTTATAATACATGAAAAACAAAATTTAATTGAACATTCATTATTTTCCTTGCTTCAACTCATCAAATCATTAGTATTTTTTATGCGTTTCAATGAAAAAACTTCTCCAAAGTTAAGTATGTATATCCGGTTGTAGTTGATAATGAATAAGAGACTACGTGCATTCAATATTAAACTATTTATATGTCTGTAATGAAAATTTCTTTAATAGTGACATCTATTATTAAATGTCGTTTGTTTCTGTCGTACTTGGTTGCTAAGCAATGACACTGCCTTGTATAATACGAATTGTTCGCCGTCCGATGTTCGTTCTGTTTGTCTGAGTGACTAATCAATGCAAGCATCCTATCCTCTCTATGTCTAGCGCTACTTGCTCGCTACTACAGCCGATATAGGCGTCCGAGCGAGAGAGAGAGAGGGAGAGAGAGAAGCAAATAAATACTTTTAGTCTATCTTTTGCTCACATACACGCATCCTTGCCCTATGCCTACGTCTTCTCTGTCTGACGCATTCTGAGAACGGGCAAGCATCGAACTTTCTCAATTGTACAATGTATTTTTTTTCCCGCTCTTTCTCCCATTTTCTCTCTCTCTCCCTTTCTCATCTGACAAAATTTTCGTATATATATATATAACTGACACATTTTCAGTTGTCCTATTTTACAGATCTATTTGTCTCTGTTCACTAGTAAATTTTTTTTCATTACCAAACAAAATAATCAACAATCATGTCGAACAAGGACGAAGAAGTACAACGTGCCAAATTAGCTGAACAAGCCGAACGGTATGATATAATTTGAATTCGTTTATTTTTTTTTTTCTATTAATAGAAACTAATTCATTTAGATATGACGATATGGCTAATGCTATGAAAAAGGTTACTGAAACAAATAATGAATTAACAAATGAAGAACGTAATTTACTTTCTGTTGCATATAAAAATGTTGTTGGTGCACGTCGTTCATCATGGCGTGTTATTTCAAGTATTGAACAAAAAACTGAAGGTTCAGAACGAAAACAACAAATGTCAAGAGATTATCGTGAAAAAATTGAAAAGGAACTAAAAGATATTTGTCATGAAGTTTTGGTAAATAAAAGAAAAAACAAAATATTTATTATTATTTATTTGATCTTTTTTTTAGAATTTACTTGATAAATTTCTTATACCAAAAGCAACTACGGCTGAATCAAAAGTATTTTATTTGAAAATGAAAGGTGATTATTATCGATATTTAGCTGAAGTTGCAACCGGCGAGGAACGTTCAAGTACGTTTGAATAAAACCTTTTTAAAGAAAAAAAACAACAAAAGAATAATTTACATTTAATTTTTATTTAAACAGAAGTTATTGATGAATCACAACGTGCATATAATGACGCATTTGATATTGCTAAAACTCAAATGCAACCAACACATCCAATTCGTCTTGGTCTTGCTTTGAACTTTTCCGTATTTTATTATGAAATTCTCAATGCACCTGATCGTGCTTGTCATTTGGCTAAACAGGCTTTTGATGATGCTATTGCTGAACTTGATACTCTTAACGAAGATTCATACAAGGGTTAGTCATATAAATGAATAATCATAAAAAAAATAAAAAAAAGATATATTTATTTGTTTTATAGATAGTACACTTATCATGCAATTACTCCGGGATAATCTTACGGTAAGAGATATTTAAATTTTTGTATAACAAAAATAAATTTTCATTTTGTTTAGTTATGGACAAGTGATGCACCTGATCCAGATGATCCAAATCCAACTGAAGAACATCAGTAATTGTTTCCTATTCTGTTGTTTTTTTGTCTGTGTACAACACACATACACACAACCGGTCATCAAACCAAATTGACAAAAACCTAAAAAAGACTTTTTTTTTTTCTCTCTCTCTATTAACATCACTATCAACTTATACTCGTTTTTCTTTTCTTTATATTTTTATTCGTTTGTCAATGTCAACATTTTTCTTTTTCTCTGTGTGTGTGTGTGTGTGTGTTGGTTGTAATCAGTTTTCTCATTAGCTGTTTGTTCATTTTCTTCGTCAACTGTTCGTCTTATTCCTGTGTCGTCGGCATCGTATGTTTGATGTAGAAAACAAAAAAAACGAAAAAAAACCTGAATACATTAAAAGAGAAGGAAAACAAACTTTTTACATATACATACACACAATAAAATTATTTCTTAAAAATATAAAAGAAAATGTTCAATATTGAGATATAATGACGTTTAGGAATAATATAAAAGCATCAAGTGCATCTATGAATAACTTCCGATCAACTTAGAAACCATAAATAAAAGACATACACATCACGACAATCACCATAATCATTAAACGTTTCCCAGACAACTTATTTTTATAATTGAAAGCAGAATACGATTTACTAATTTTTTCCATTTATAGATTTTTTGATAAGTATGCGTCTTTTTACGTTTACTTTTATCTATGTATATATAGATATAGATATATGCATACGTATATTTAATGTTTAATTTATGATTCGATGCATTTTTTATGTGAAAATATTCGACTTATTTTATGACAAAATTACTTTACCTAGAGAAGAAAAGCCTTGAAAATTCTACTGATTTTTTTTTTTATAATTAATATTTTATTCGAAGACATCTCTAATGGGAATCTCGAAGTGTTTCAGCAACAAAAGAAAATAAAACAAAACAAAAAAAAAAAAGAAAGAAAAAAAGTCATCATTCTGTCGTTTAGAGGCCATGCACGTCTTTTTCTCCGATCTCATGAGAGTGGAGGGAGACATGACAGAAGTCTGACATAAGAAAAAGAAAGTTTGATAACTTTAAATTTTTAAAATAAAACATATATAATTCAAGTGAACAATATTGATGTATTCATAAATATCAAACTGGCTTTTTTTAAAAATTTATCACCAATGTTCATCATTAAAAATAGTCAACTTACATTCCAATGAAGAAGAAAAAATATTTTCTTTTATCTTCGAAATATTCTTATTCATTACACATGTACTAGAATTGAGTATGTCTTTTGTTCCATAGTAAAAAGGAAATTATGTTTATGAATATCTATTGATTGCTAAAAAAAGAAGAATTAATCAACCTATGATTGACATTATTCATGACTTTTACTTTCACTAAAGTTAAGTAATTGTGCAATTCTATTTTTTTTTTAATATAAATTTGATAATAAGATAAAATACATTATTTATGAGATCAATAAATTTCTTTTGAATATATAATGAATAATTGTTATCTTTTTTATGTTTTTCGTGAAAATTTACGAATGATTCGAAGTACAGTGAATAAATAAATTTATAAACGTTCCTTACATGTTAAAAGTAATTATATCTTAAAATTTTTTATTCTCTTGAAAGTTCTATTTGATAAGAAAAAAAAACTTTCATGTAAGAGCATCAATTGTGAAAATTTACTTTAAATGC